CTATGTCTGTAAAGAGCTCCAGGATCAGATGTCTTTTGGGTGAGCAACCTCATTCAAACATGCCTATGCCTAAAATTGGCTAATAAAAGGTTTATAGCTGCTGGGGTACCCAAATGTATTGAGTTAGAGTCCTGAGCTCTGGGTTTGAGTCCCAGAGTATTGGATTTTGGTTTCCGTTCATGTTTATTTATGCCTAATGGTTTTACTTGTTAAAATTGGCTTTTCGGGGACTGAGTTTTTCAGTGATCATAACAAACTCTCTTTAGGAATTATTGTTTATTGTGGCCAACTTAGGAAAAGACTCCTAAAATGGAGATAAGTGTTAACAGCTGGCAAGATAACCCGGGATAATTTAAAATTACCAAGGCAACTTTGGACTCCTTTTGAGCTTTGAACCAAGAAACAAAGAAATCCTTAAAGAGTCAAGGGATCCACCTTTGAACCAAAATGTTCCAGAAGCTGTAAAGATTTACAGAGAATGGCAGAATCTTACCAAGCTTGTTTTGTGTCCTGATGGCTTGGCTTGATAATCATTACGTTAGGAAATCCCAAGACTACAGTGGGACAAAAAATATGGTTGCACTCCATTTTGCAGTCAGAGATAGTGGGACAGAAATGCAGGCTGCACTCCTGTTTGTGGCTAAGGGTCCTACCAAACTGCCACCAGCCTCAGATAATTACATTGGCCATTAGAAGCAAGCCTTGGCTTGGCCCTCATTGTGAGGGCCTTGGTTTCAGGAAAACCCACAAATTTGCACGATCTGGTTCTAGCTGCAGTGTAAATATACTTTTGACTGGCCATGTATAAATTCTGAAATAATGGGAAGTGCTAATTTGATCCTCACCTGTAGCCCGTTAGGCCTCATTTTCCCAAATTGGGCAACTTTTTTGTATGAGTATGTAGAACCAGCTACTGATTACTCATTGGCTTATTGATCCTTCTCCTGCCAGAGATGGTCATTCTGTCTTTGTGTTATTTATCATGAAAAGGAAAAATCATAAGGCAAGACACAGGCATCTCTGTAAGCCCGTTGTCTGCGAATATGTGCAGGAGTTGAAAGCTGTTGCTAAGGGCATCTTGGAAGACAAAGAGGCTGCAAATTTGGCGGGCACAGGTCGAGCAGTTAAGAGCCGCTAGGGCACTCACCACCTCAAGAAGACTCCTGTGATAGGATAAGTTGGTCATGGAATGGGGTAGATGACAGAGGTCCCCTGCTACCATCAAGAAAATGTTTGTGCAATGAAGTACTCTGTAAAAGCACACAGGATCCCCAACCCTATGGAACATTCCACCTATGTATTAATCTGGCTCCAAGAGACCTAAGGCTTAGCTCAGTCTGTTAATATACATGTAAGATAAGGTTTTTTTCTTTTGCCTTGGTCTATGTCTTGAGAACTTGGCTTTGTGACCTTTCTGGTCTCTGTCATCCAGAGGGTGTATGTATTGGCATGCATTTTGGTGGCCAGTTAATTAGACTGGGGTTCTGAGAAGCACTCTTTGTCTGGCTGTGTCAGCTTTCTGGGGAGTTTGTCATAGGGGGTCCCAATTGCTTTCATAAGGGGCCTTTGTTGTGTCAACCTTCGTTTCTTGTTAGTGCACTACTGCCTGTGCAGTGGAAGCCTTTGCTTTCTTGGACTATTTTCGGGAGTGAACTCTCTGGATCTTGTGAGGACTGTGTCTTTTGCACTCTCTTTTGGGGCCACCTCTTGCATCCATGGTTAAACCATAAAGGCTTATTGATTTGAGCCACTATTAATGGATGTTATATCTGGCTGGAAATGTTTCCCTTATCCAACATTATAAGACTGAGGCCTATTGATAAAATCCTAATAGAAGCTATGATTAGAGATATAAGATTTGATGGAATTCAGATTAAATTTTGTGGGAAAATTGATACTTGTATAGGCTTTATGTGAAGTGATTGCATCTTTTTTTGCCTGATTGTATTATAGATTGTATTGTGGGGCTAGACATTGTGTCTCACTGGGGAACGTTTTCCCTCTCTGATTATAACACAGCATATAAATCTGCCCTTCAGACAATGTTAATTAAATATACTAAAGGGAAGTTAATAGGGTTGCCTGAGTCCACACAGTATGAGATAGAAAGTAGAAGCTAATATTAGGTGCTAATAAAGAAAAATAATGAATGCTTCCCTCCCAGGAAAATTGGTCTAGGGTTAAATTGTACACTTAGAAAGAGGGACTTTGTTATTAAACACTTTATTCAGACTTTTTAAAGATGTGATACATTGTCCTGAAGTTTTAGAACACAAAAATCTTTTGGTTCACTTCTTAGGTTAAAAATTTCCCTGATATAAAGAAGCAATTAGAAAAATGTAGCTGAAAGTGTGGGTCAACCTCTTTTCTCATTCAGGCTGCAGTCCAATTCTTTGGAGAAATGGAAGCAACCGTCTTTTTGTCTTGCAAATCTCTACAAGGCCAGAGATATGGCTCTAGAAAGCAGTTCAAAGTTCACTTGTCCTTTTGCCAATCCCAAAGCCTCCCCTCTTCCTCTCAGAATGCTCCTAGATATCGAGACATTAGAAAATGATAAATCAAGTATGCCCCACTAAGTCCATCTTGAACAAAACTTGACTGCTTTCTCTGTGCCTTTATGGTATAAATTTTCTGCTCCCATCTTCTCTAGGACCAGAGAGCCATTCTTTAAAATAAAAATGTTTCTCATAAACTAGTGAGTTTTGTATTGCACTTGATTCATAAAAAAATGCTACAGAAGCTTTAAAGTCTCTGTCTGTGTCTACCTGTGTGTTCATGTATGTCTATATGTATATGTTGAAAATGTGAGATAATTTTCTACCTCTGGATGGTATGGCCAAAATTAAGAGCTCCATTTTATTGACTTAAAGTAAGTGCTTACATAAACTGTTTGTAAATGTAATAAACGGGACCTTTCACAGCATTAACCTCATGCTTAAAACCATTGAAATGAATGAAACTCTATGAGGCGCACACCAGTATTCTCAGTCAACAGATGGTGAAAGTCGGGCTCCCTGGACGTTCCTCACAAAGGTCTCTTTAAAAATCTGAACAAGCCCACGATTTCTCAGGTTTGGGGGTACTTTCTTTCAAAGAACATGAAAAGACACAATCAAGTGTCCAAACATAAGCCCAGAAGGAATTCAGAGAATGAAGCAAAGGTGCACTATAAAGGGATTATGAGAATTTGGTTTGAAGAAAAAAGAAGACATAGAGTATGATTTGTCTTAGGGGTGTGTGCAAGTCAGGAAGAGGAAGAATTGAGAATGAAGTGTATTAAGGCATTGGTGGTGTTGGTGCTGTGGTTTCCAAAGTGGATGCATAAGACAATACATTTGTTTATGGGAAGAGAGTGTTAGAAACACTATTTGTAGTTGTTTTCATCACATATTTTTAAATGCTTTATTTCTGTGTATATTTTGCAATATACACATAAGTAAAAAACTTATTACTTTGTAAATAAATAAATGTACATATATTGAGGGTTTATTCATGCAAAAAATAAAGTCAAGCAAATTTAGAAAAAAAAAAGCTAGAAAATTTGCTTACCAAAAAGCAAGAATTATTATAAAGCTATACTAATTAAAATACTGTGTTCCTGGTACAGGAATAGACAAAACTGGGATTTGGCCACATTTGTAAAGTGAGAGTTGAGTCTATAAGGTGACACGATCTCTAATTGTATCCTTACGGAAACTGGCACATATAAGTGGAGACATACAGTGGAAAAGAAGAGAGAGAGCAGAAAGGGCTGTGTGAGAGAGTGGAAATTTAGTTATCATAGGGGTCGCAATGAAAAAAATTGGGAGTAATGATGGATTAGTCAATAATTTGGGGGAGAAATGGGATCTCCACATTCGGATTGCTACCTTACTCCCATACACAAAAATTCCATTCAAAGCCAATCAAAGAAATAAACGTGCAGAGCAAAGCCTTAACACTATTTGGAAAAATATAAATGAGAATTTGTTAATGCTTTAAGGTAAGGAATAAGCTTTCTGAAAGCTGAAAAATAGTTAAATACGTGGTCTCTGCTACAGTAGTTCAAGTTAGAGCTGGTTCATTTAGGATATAATTCTTCTTGCCGGAGGTCACAGAAGTGAGAAGGAACTGAAGTTTCCACTTGTGGTTCTGGTGGAATTATCATGGAGAAATGTGATGAGCTGTTAGAGCAGCAGCATTCAGGGTGTGATAAGAGAGGAGGAAGCCCATGAGCACCTTTCTGGAATGCATTCTTGTGTTAGGCTGGGAACCGGCCCATTTCAGAGGGAGACACATCACCCTATCTGTTAATGCTAGGACAGCAGTACTTGAAAATGAATTTGAATAAGAATCAGTGTGGAGGTCATTGAAATATACACATTTTCAGGTTTCATCCTAAGATTCTGATTTATTGTGTTGGATGTTACCCAGAATCTGCACTTTTATTCAAACCTCCCAGGTGCTTCTGATGCAGATGGTCCTGGACCACAGTTTGAGAAACACTGTTCTAGGATCTTAAACTCTAAGCTAGACTCAAGGTTAAGAGTTCTGGCAGAAAGTTGGAGGATCCAAAACACAAGAGACCAGACATGTATAAACCAGCATTTCTGTACTTCAGTATAAATTTTAATCCTTAAACCTGGTTCCATATGGCAACCACAGCCCTTTCCAAGATGACTTTTCAATTCAAATATATACTATTGATTGTCTGATTGTTCACTGAAAGTGTCCCTTAAATTTAATATTAAGCAGAAATAATCTGATAAGACTCATTCCAGTGTAGGACTTGGCTGTTTCAATGTTAGGGGAAGGGGTGGAAAGGAGTTTTGGCTTTACTTGTTTAAGACAGAACGTTCTGGCTGTGGCTGAACTTCAAAAGAAGGTGTGAGTAAAATACAATGGCTGGCATCTCTACAATAATCACTTTATTCCTACACTTTCACTGTATCAACAGTGCCATGGGTGGTTATGGTGAGGCAAATATCAGTTTGTCCAAAAGATAAATCAGATACCAGCTTGAGGTCTTCATGTAGTCCAAGGTTTTCATTCCATCATTTCTCATTCTCCTGAGTAATGCAGGAGCTCCTTTCCCAGCCATTTTCTCTGGGTAATGATTGGATAAAGATTCAGTAACACCAACCTTCACATATTGCTCTCCTAAGTGTCTCCCCTCACAGATCAACTCTAAGTGACATTGTTTGTCCCAGGAAGCAGACTGAATGGACTCCACTAGCTCCTAGGAGAGCTGAAAGAATATGCTGTCTGCCAGACTGATTGTCTAAGGCCTGGAGATGGGAGATCTATCTTTAGGAAAGCGCTGTGGCTCACAGGGGAGGAGGGAGGCCAGTGGGATACAAGGGTGGGGGTTGGGCACTGAGCTCAGGGTCTCTCTTTGTTCAGAGCACAGTGAAGTCAGGGCAGGAAGGGAGACAGAGGCTGGTCTATCGTGTGTGCCAAGGCTGCTCTTGGCAGCCACAAGCAAAATTTTCAGTGCAGTGTAGGGGAGGTCTGAATCACTGTGCCTCTCCCAGACAGCACAGTAATACACACCAGAATCACTTTCTTCCAGATTTCGGAGTTCAATATTACGATTCTTCTCTGAGCTTCCATACATATGGTATTTCCCTGAATTGCTTCCCGGATCTGTCATCAACCTTGAGTATTGGTAATGGTAGTATAGAAGTCGTTGTGGGGCCATCCCCTCCTTGTACTGGTACCAGTGGACATAGGTGAGGCTTTGTTTAATATCACAAGTGATTACAACAGATGACCCAGCCGGCTTGATGACTGCCATTTGTGTCCCTTCCAAGTTGGAAGATGCCTGAGTGGCTGCAATGGGAAGAACAAAATGTAATGAGCAAGAGGTAACAGTAATTCCTTAGTGTGGCCTCCCATTGCCAGTAAAAGAAAAATCCCGTGAGCATCTAGGCAGCACACTCACCAGGAGCCAGGAAAGCTAGAAGGAGGGCTAGAGCCCGCAGCATGCCTTCCTCCTTGGGCCTCAGAAGGAAAGGGAGAGATGACAGGAGGAGCAGAGCACCCTCTCAGAACTCCAGTCCCGCTCAGAAGACAGTGAGCCCAGGACACGAGGCAGGGAGTTAGAGCTGCTTCTGGACAGTGTCCCAGGCAGGGCAGTGACTGAGGGGCTCTCCTAGAAGACCACCAGACTGATCACCCAGAGGGGGCGGTGCTGGGGGAGGACGGGGGAGGAGCCCTGCCTCTCTGCCCACCCATTTCTTGAGAGCCCTCCTGTGGCAGGCTGAGAGCAGGCCCTCTCCAGAAGAGGAGAGGCCAGGGGCCCTGAGAGCCCAGGACAGAGGGAGGGACCATCCAGAGCCCACGGGGTGGGCAGGAGAAGCACGGATGAAGCTGGCCTGTCCCCTAGTGCAGGGAGCAGTCCTGAGTCGGGGAACTGCCCTGCCACTCAGGGTTCCCATGTTCACGCTGCTGCCATGGGCTTCTCCTGCGATGCAGTGTCTTTATTCTTGCCCTGAACCACCTTCTTTTCACGTCTGTGAGTCAGCCTGGAGGCACCAACAGCAAAGCTGATAAGGATTGAACTTGCTGTATTAAAAGAAATTAGGATCAGTTATGTTGTTCGACATCTGACTCTCCTCAAAGTCAAATAGAGGTGTGTGTGTGTGTGTGTGTGTCTGTATGTGTATGCGTGTCTGGTGTGTGCGTGTGTGTGTCTGTGTTTTTGTGTGCCTGTGGCCTGTGTGCGTGTCTATGTGTTTGTGTGTGTGTGTGTGTGTGTCATGTCAATTTGTTACAAGATTTGTGTTCATCCTCAAGTAAAAGGGCCCCCTCACGCAGGTTTGCCAGATTTTGTGAAAAGTAAAAATTGCAGGGTGCTACGCAATATCTGGGACACACTTGAACTAAAAAAGCATTTGTTGTTTATCTGCAATTAAGATTTCCTCCGAATCCTGTGTTTTATTAGGTAGCCCTCCCCTCAGGAAGTGTACCCATATCTGTGATTTACTTGGATTCACAGATGAGTTGATAGGTGATCAATTAAGAATAGTGAAATCACGGGAGGTGCACACAGATTCTCACCCCCCCACTTTTATAAATGGATTTGGATACATGTTTACAGTATTCACAGTAGAATGTGAATACAGCTTCTCTCTCAGCTGATTCATTTTCTCCTGTCCTAACAGACAGCTGGGAACTGAGAAGGGGAGGGGACTCGGGCTGCTCCTTCTTTTGCCTCAGGGACCCCATGTGCAAGGACATGAGGGGTCGCAGCAGCAGCTCCGCAAGAGAACATTCCAGGTCGCTATGCAGGAAGAAGGTTCAGTGCCTCAGAGTCCCAGAACATCCTTGCTGGACAGAGTCCAGGTTACAGCTCAGAAAGGAGAAAATGCCATCACACTGGAGTAGAAAGAATATTCTTTAAAATGTAAGGAAAGAAAGAACTCCACCAGAATGTAAAAAGAGCTATCAACTACAATAATGAAAAGAGGGCACTCTTGGTGCTAGAGTATATTCATGGAACATAATGTACCCTGACAGAGAGAGAGAGAAAGGAAGAGAGAGTGAAAGAGAGAGAGAAAAAGATCGAGAAAGAAGAAAAAGAAAAAAAAGTCAAATTACATTCTCTGAGCCTAGTATTGTTAGTGGTAATTTTAATATTGTTTATATTTATATTTTTGTCAACTTACATTGATACTGTTAGAAATCAATATTTCAGTGTAAGGCCAAAATGCAGGTATAAAAATTTGAAATTTTAATAAAAACCTTATGATCTATAATTTGAATCCGTTTTTTTTCTAAAAAATACTTATTTTTTAGCTATTCACTGAAAAAACTAGAAACCAATAACCATCCAGCAGTAACGAGCTCTCCTAGCATCTGTACTGTGGCATCAATACCATTTCTTACTAGAAGACTAGGGCTCAATTGAGAAATGGCTGAATCCAGGATTGGGAAGGAGACGGACAAAATCAATGACATCTCGTCTTGCCTGAAAGTAAAGAAGCCATGAGAGACTACTGAGGTTGTGTCATAGGACACAGACGCCAACTCACAGTGTCTCTCACTGGCCACAGAGAGGACAATGTAAGCACCAAAAGAATAACACGTGCACAAATACGTTAAAGAGAAAATATATAAAGACACACAGGTTCATTGATGAAACTAAAAATTAATATGTCACCCTTGGAGGTTACTAAGACACTATGTCATTATTCTGAAAAGGGAAACAAAAAAAGAATCAAACATTTACCTCACCATTTCTGTGCAAGCAGTATTTCAGGATACCACAGAGCTTATGAATAAAAGTTCTTCATGGGAGTATTACAACCAGTAAATGCAGGAGAAGTATTACAATTAGCAAATTACCATTGTGTAACCCTAATAACGTCCTGGACATAGACATCTGCCATCAATTGCTTTACAGCTCTGCCTCTTGCACTGGCTCTTTCTCTCTCCACCATTCTATTTCTCTGTCTCCCCCCTTGCTTTCTCTATCACTCTTCCTATCCCTCCCTCTCTCCATCTCTAGGTCTACAACTCTTTCTTGTTCTCTATTTCCCATTGTTCTACATTCCTCTCTGCTTTTCTTTCTATCTCCCTTTCCAGCTCTGTCTCCTTCTCTATTTCTCTTTATCTGTCTTCTATCCTACTATCTCTCTTCTTATCTCTTTATATTTCTGTCTCTCTGTATCTCTCTGTCTATCTCTTCTACCTATATTTCTTTCTATTTCTCTATTTATACCTCTCTTATCTATTTTCCATTCTATCTCTATCTCTACCTCTCTTTCCATTTCCTCCCATGGTCATAATAACTACTTTTTTTTTTTTTTTTATTGTGGTAATATTGGTTTATAATATATAAAATTCAGATGTGCATCATTATATTTCAATTTCTGTGTAGAGTGTATCATATTCGCCACCCAAAGACTAATTACAATCCATCACCACCTACATGTGCCTAATCACCCCTTTTGCCCTCCTCCCTCCCCCTTTCCCCTCTGGTAACCACCAATCCAATCTCTGTCTCTATGTGAATGTACACTATTTGTTTTTAAATGCAATCTACGTGTTTCACTTTAACAAGGAACCAAATATCTTCTTAACTCTGCCTTTGTTCTCTTATCTCCAATTATCATTGTGACTCTTTTTTATATTAAGAGGATTATGTTGCTACAATATAAGATACTTTAAATTCTCTGTTATCCCCAATCTGTGTCATTTAAAGATCAACATCTGTTAATGGCTTCTCCATTATGAGATGTTGAGATCTTCCTGGTTCTCCATATACTGAGTAATTTTGGATTGCTTCCTGCACATTTTGAATATCATGTTAGGGGCTCTAGGCAGTGTTTAAATACTATGGAGAATGTTGAGCGTTTTGTTTAAAGGCAATTGACCCAGTTAGGGGTTGCAAGTTCCCACCTGCTTTTGGTGGGCAGTTCCAATCAGTGCAGTTTTCAAAGGCTTTGTAGTACTACTCAGATCTGTCCTGTGTGTGCACCACCCAGTGGCCACTCTAGGACCTGGGCAATGGATTACCCCTAGATCAGTTTGCAAAGCCTTTAGTCGGATCTTTAGGGTAATTTCTTTGCCTGTGCAGCTAGGGGGTAAACCCAGTCGTTCAAGCACCATTGTATGAGATTTCTTCCCTAAACTTTCTCCTCTCTATAATCTCCTCTTTTCAATTCACCGGCGTGTCTCTTCCAGTCCACTGGCCAGGTAAGTGGGGCTGTAGCATTCTTGCTTTGCTGTGCATTTCCTGCAACTGTGTCTGCCTTTAGGGCCAAGCAGGGAGAGAATAAAGAGAGGACAAAAGCCACCAACATTCTCTCCATGCTCAGAGTCCTCAGAGTCAGGAGTTATAGTTGCATTCAGTGAGAGACACAGGGCCAAGAGTGCTCACTGCAAATTTTCCAGCCTGGTGCTCACTCCTTCCATTGTGAATTAACAGCTCCTCAATTCAGAGGGGCAGTTTATTTCCCCATTTTTGGATATGGGAGGAAGGTATGGGGTTCCAGTTCTGAGTCTAGACCTCAAGAGGCCTAATGCACTTCTGCTAGCTCTCTTGGACCCTCAAAATTGTCATGAGAGCAAGTCCAGGCTGGCCAGCTGGAGGATGAAATACCATGTGGAACAGAGCTTACTCATTACAGCCAATTCCCAGCCAACCCATCAGCTGACCAACACTTGACCAAGTCCAACTGAGATCAGCTGAGCCCGGCCCAGATCAGCAGAGCAGCCTAGCTGATCAACTGGCTTGTGAGAATTAATAAATGACTATTGTTTTAAGCCACTATGTTTTGGGGTGTTGGTTATACAGCATTATTTTGCAATAGGATGGAGATGATAGATAGACAGATAGATAGATAGATACATAGATACATAGATAATAGATATATAGATAGATTTCTTGTTAGTGCCATCAAGTCAATTCCAACTCCTAGCTACCCTGTGTACAGCAGAGCAGAACTGCATCCAGACTTTTTGTGCCATCCTCTCCTCCTCCAGCGCTATATCACACAATGTTCCACTGCCGTTCATAGGATTTTCACAGCCAATTTTTTGGAAGTGGGTGACCATGTCCTTCCTCTCAAGATAAATAGACAGATAGATACAGGTAAATAGAAAGATACTACATATAAATAGAAAAAGAATGTTAGAAATTTATATAATACATAAGACAAAATATATACATATGTATATATGTAAATGTTTAACAATATGTAAATATACAATTTGTAACAATATGTATATAAAGAAGCATATATCTCTAACTTTCTCTCTTTCTGTCAATAATTACCTCTGTTTTTGTATATCTATCTCCATCTTCATAATTTCATATGAGCAAAGTTGGTTGTGGTTTAACTGTCCTTAATTTGTCTTATGACACCCTAGCCACTGCTTGCACAGCCCCAACCAATAGGCTTCAGATTGACTTTGAGCATTTTCCTGGAATCAACCACATTTGACAGAGCACATAAACAAAAGAAGCCTGAGAAAATAACACACCATCAGCCACACCAGCCCCCTCCCGCCACCCAGGCTGTCTCCTCCACCGCCACCTGTGCTCTCCCTCCCTGTACCGCCTAGTTCAGGGCAGCCCAGGGCCAGTGTGGAAGAAAGTTGCTAAGAGGTTTGAAGCCACAGGAGTGACTGCCCAGCAGTGCCCAACAGTGAAGTCAGCTGCACAAAGCTTTCAGAGATTTGCAAGTTTCCCCTCTTTGCTTCTACTCTTTCCCAGTGCAGAAATAGTTCCAAGTCTCTAAGTAAAGGGCCTGCTACTTGGCCTAGAGAAGTCTGATCAAATTCATGAGAATCAAGGAATAGATCTAATTAAATTTAATCTTTCTTATATCTGGTGGGTCTTTGTTTCCAAATGGGAACCTCTACTTGGTTTCCAAAGAGAACATATTTCACAGAAACAGAAGGCCACCGTAAAGAAACAAAAAATTTTGACAATTTTAAGCAAGATACTTTTCATTTTAATGCATAAATGATTTTACTTAAAAAATATTACTTAGAGAAAATAGAAAAATATACAATCTCTTATCTTTTTTTCACCCTCTACCATACATTGGATATGTTTTACGCCTATGCCTGTAGAACTGCAGAGACACATATAAATGGGTGTCATACCTGTTGGTATTGTCACTCAATAGAAAAAATGGTCAAAGGATGGGAACAAATATATCACAGAAAAAGAAATATAGATTTTTCAGTATATGAAAAGATGCTTATCCTCACTCACAGTAACAGAAATGCAAATTAAAACCACGATGAGAGACTATTTTCACCTGTCAGATTAGAAAGTCCTGAGGGACACTCCTGACATTCACAGACACTGTGGTAGAAGAATAAAATGGTGCTCTCTCTGTCGTGGGCGAGTTGGCAACACCTATCAAAATAACCCACACACACATTCAAAATGACAGAAAACCTTATAATAGTTTCAGCATTTTTAATAAGAGCAAAAGCTTGGAAATGAGCCAACCATCTGTCACGGGGAACTGATTTTATAAGGTGTTGCACGTTCACCAGTGAAATACCATGCAGCCGTCTATGTATCCCTCTATCTTGACATAGATAGCTCTAGGATGTTTAAGGGAAAAGAGAAGTGCAGAATAATGTGTACCGCTTACTATGTCTGTGAAAAAAGGGAGGAATGAGAGTATATATATGCATATATATTTACATATGTACATTCATATTTGCATAAATAGAAACTGGAAGAATGCATGAGAAACAAAACATGACCTGTAAGAAATGGGAGATGGAGAGACAGTCATTGAAGAAAAATTCTTTTTTTTTTTTGGTGAAGATGAGCCCTGAGCTAACTTCTGTTGCCAATCCTCCTCTTTCTGCTGAGGAAGATTGGCCCTGGGCTAACGCCCGTGCCCATCTTCTTCTATTTTATATGTGGGACACCACCACAGCATAGCTTGATAAGCGGTATGTAGGTCTACGCTTGGGCTCGGAACCTGCGCACCCTGGGCGGCCGAAGCGGAGCTCGCAAGATCAATGGCTACACTGCTGCGCCAGCCCTGAAGCAAAATTTCTTAATGCATTTTTTAGAGTGTTTTGATATTTGAACCGTGTGAAGGTATTATCTGACAATTTTTATAGGGTCATGCTGTGCATATTGTTTTTTTCAACAACACTTTCTGATTAATTTTTCCCTTCTTTAAGCAATCTACATTTTTTTGAAGATGCATACTAGAAAATCACATGGCATCCTTTAGTTTGTTTTTTAGTTTCTTATTGGATATTTTGGTTAATTTGGTGCTGCTATAAATGGTGCTACAGTGAATGAACATCCTTGCACATAAATCTTGGTACATTCCTTTTGTTTTCTCAGGAAATGGATGGGTGGAGTGGTGAGAACACTCTCCGGGTTGCAGCAGGTTCTTACGTGTGTGAGGGGCTCTGTGATGGCTCCTCACTGCGTGTGATCTGGGACAGCAGGGCTGGAGCCCAGGAGCTCTTTCAGTCACTTGCTGGCCTCCACCCCGAGCACATTAGAATTACTGAAGGAGGTTTTTTTTTTTTTTTTTGTGAGGAGATCAGCCCTGTGCTAACATCCGCCAATCCTCCTCTTTTTTTGCTGAGGAAGACGGCCCTGGGCTAACATCTGTGCCCATCTTCCTCCACTTTATATGGGACGCCGCCACAGCATGGCTTGCCAAGCAGTGCGTCGGTGCGCGCCCGGGATCCAAACCAGCGAACCCCAGGCCGCTGCAGCGGAGCGCGCGCACCCAACCGCTTGCGCCACCGGGCCGGCCCCTGAAGAAGGTTTTTAAAGGCCGATGCCTGGCCTGTGATGGAGTCTGGGCCTCAGTGGCTTTTAAAGGCTCCCAAGAGGAGAGCCGCTGGTATAGGGATAGAGCAGCAGGGCTTCAGTCAGGCAGACCTGGAGTCATGTGGACGCGGGCACTACTCCGTCTTTAATCTCAGGCATGTTTCTTAGCCTCTCTGGGACCTAGTCTTCTCCTCGGTGAGGTGAGCGTGATACCTGTGTGTGGCACACTGAGAGCATTAGACATAGAGCATGCAAACTGCCTAGCAGAATTCCTGATGCTCACTAAGTGGTGGGTACTTGCTGTTATTCACACAAAACTAAAGACGGCAAGGAAGCAAAAACATAGCCTGACAGAACATGACAGAGTCCATGCATTTACCCAGGTTACATTTCATTACTAAGGAAAATGTTGAGTTTTTAGCCTTTTGCGTGAACTGTACGGTGTTGGTGTAGTATCTCTGGTTATCTCTTATTACTCAGATTTTCTAATAGGCAGTTATATGGGACTTTGGTTAATATAAAGGGGAAAATCAAATATTACTTAATTGTGACTTGCTTGATTCACAGAAAGACTTCAAAAATAAAGTCTCTGAGGAAGAGAATTCCAAAACTGTACAGAGAATTCATAATGGGGAAATTTCAAGAATTGTTGCCTTGAAGTTTCCCTTTGTTATCGTTGAGAAGTGTGTGGAGACTCTAGCTCTAAAAAGAGTATTGAGACATGAGTGTTTTTATGTGGAATTGTATAAATCCTTGCCCAGTTTTTTCATCGCACACCTGTGGATGCAATCTGTTATTCTGGTTTCATTGTATCCAACCAGGCGCCGTGGAGTTGAATCACAGAAGTCCTATTGGTGGGTGGGAGGTCAGCGTATAAAAGTCTTCCAGCATGAAAATTGTGTGGCCAGTGACTATGACTCCCTAATTGTACGAACAGCATAAGAACAAGGAGAGAAAGTGTGGACAGGTAAAGAGGCTGTTCTCTTCTTCACCTCTTAGCCTAATAGGGAGGAAAATTTCCTGCTTTAACTGAAAGTAACAGTTACTTTTTTCTACTCTAGTAGCAAATAATGAGAAATTATGTGCAGAGCTCCTGCAGCCAGGCTGCTTGGATTCAAATCCCAGCTCTGTTTCTTATTAGCTAACTAAGAGGATGTTTTTTATCTGCTATCTGCCTCAGTTTCCCCATCTATAAACCAGAGATAATTGTACATATCTCATAGGTTTCTTGTGACAGTTAAATAAGTTAACACGTACTTAGACCAGTACCAGCATTTTTACATCATTCAGATGTTAATCATTGAATTTGTAAACAGCGCTAGAAACCTGATATTATTTTATCTGGACACTTTCTTCTAAAGCTGGGTAAACTTAGACAATGTGACATGGTCAAAAACAAATGACACAGCTAGTTAGAGCCAGACCAAGGAGCCAATGGCTCTAACTAGGGGGTGTGAGAGGAGACTTCCAGTCACGTGTTTCCCCCTCCACACCACATGGCAGTTGTGCTGTGGTGGAAAAGCACACGACCAAAAAGGATGTATAACCTACTTCCTACCTTATAAATGTACCTCGACCTACCAGAGTCTTCCACAGGTAATTCTAAGGACTGCTGGGCCCATTCAGTCTAGTAGAGGAGCTGGGGTGTCAGGATGGTGCACCCAGAGAGCACCATCAACGGGCCTGCTCTGCCTGAGGCTCTCAGTCCATTTCATTAGCAGCCCCTAAAACAGCAGTTGCAAATCTAGGACACACACTCACAGAATAAGGTAGGATTTCCACAGTGTTGATAACAAAGGGAGCAATTACGGTAATAACAAAGTGCATATATGAGGAGAAAACATAGATGCACCCACAAGTCTTCAAGAAAATTCTCACTGACTCCTTGGAGGATGCCTTTAGTGAAGAAACTGCGTGTTTTGCTTTGTTTTATTTTTCCCAGTTGACAGTGGGTGAACTGAAAGGCACCTGAGAGTAGGTAAGAAAATACTGGCTCTGAGTTCAGAAGGACCTGGCTTTAAATGACTATTACTTACAAAACAGTGACCTTGAGCAGAGAATGTAATTTGTCAAATATCTATACTGTGGACTATAATTGTACCTACATCCAGGGACTATTAGAGGATTAACAGGATTGCCTGCTGCATAGCAGAAACTCAGAGTTCCCACACTGCCCACATCTATCCTCTCTGAGGGGAAATAAGATTAGAGATGACTGTCTGAGTTTGCCTTTGTGTAGTATCTACTATTTCTAAAGTAGGCCTGCCAACAGTGGATGCTAATGCTGTGGAGGACTTGCAAGTGCCAGGCATTATTACCTCATCTAATCCACACAACTCCAGGAGACAGGGCGCTGTAACTCTATTCTACAGATGAGGAAGTTATGGCACAGAGAGTTCAAATAGCTTGCCTGATGCCACACAGGTGCTAATACTATACCCAGGATTCAAACTCAGGTACTTGGGGGTTCAGAGTCCAGGGACTTAACCTCTCCACTGCAATGTCTCTTAGTGTTAGCGCAGGACTCATGGGGTTATTATGAGGAACAGGAAATATGCTGCTTGTGAAACACTAGTGTAGAGCTGAGCACACACAGTGCAAGTCATGCTAGATGTTATACCGACACCATCAGAATGTCTCAAACCAAATGAGCGTGTATCTGGTGACCTTTGAAAGAGAGATAACTTGGTGCCTTCATTTGACTGTGGCTCCTCTTGGAGACAGTGCCCCAAAGAAAGCATCATGACCACTATCTCAGGGAAAGAATTAGAACTGTGGTATTGACCATTATTAAAACCAATGCTGGGGCCGGCCCTGTGGCTTAGCGGTTAAGTGCGCGCGCTCCGCTGCTGGCGGCCCGGGGCTCGGATCCCGGGCGCGCACCGACGCACTGCTTCTCCGGCCATGCTGAGGCTGCGTCCCATATACAGCAACTGGGGGGATGTGCAGCTATGATATACAACTATCTACTGGGGCTTTGATAACTCAGGTGTCATGCTGTTTCTTCCCTTGGGCTTTCAGTTAGATTTCATCAAATTACACAGAATCAAATGTACACTTATAATTTTTTTTATTGCACCTATTATGAAAAACAAAATGCAGAATTCAAGTAAAAACTATGGTGGCCTCAGGATGTGTAAAATGGAAAGCTTCAAGGTGGTCATCTGGTTAAATGGCCCTAAGAGACGTGACTAGAAGCTGCATCCTGTCTATACTCAGAAGGCATGATTATTTGGGTTGCTGGAGGAGCTGATGGAGATCATGGAGACAGTGGCGCTAAGGGACTACCCCTTGGCCCTGACCCTGAGTAATGACAGAAGTCATTGTTGCTACAGACTATAATTTTCTGTTTGCCCAATGGTTTACAAAACCATTATGCAACAACGACATGATAGAAAAATACACATGTGAAATGAAATAACCCACACTCAGAGAGAAAGCCAAGGTAGATCTTTATGAGACACTTTTAGGGACAAAACACAATGGAGAAAAGTTGCCTTCTTGTTTCCACCATCTGTTATGAACTCTTTCCATTGCCACAGACTACTGTTCTCCTAAACAGACAGAAGGCGATGATGGCAAAGTAGACGGCACTCATGAGGAGGAGGAGGAGGTAAGCATAACAAGCAGAGGTGATGGTGAGCTGCAGCTGCAGGGTGTCTAAGAGAAGACATTTGATTAGTTTCGACTGCTCTTTTGCAAGGATGGGACATATTAATGGGAGGGTGATCACAGTTATTCATTTCTGATGACCTACATTGCAGTGCCACCCACACCACCAAACCTCAAAAGTAAACATCTACCACCACGATCACCACCACCAACAACAAGACAACTCAGAATCCAGTTTACAGGTCATGTCAATCAACTACCTCTGCTAAATTCACTTAGAACATTCCAAAATATGAAAAGTAAGATTGTGTTTTTAATAAATGAGTCCAATGGGAAAAAAGTGTTTGTGACAAATAGATCTTAACATTTCTTCATCCCCATCATATATCTAAGTGATATTAATAACTAGTATTCATTAACCACTAACCAAATGCCAAACACTTCTTCTGAGAGCTTTGCATACAACTTTAATCTTGTTTAAGTTTTATGCTAACCTATGAGATTATTATTTTCATTCCCATTTTACAAATAAACTGAGGACAGAGAGATAAGTAATTTCCCTGATGTCATGCGTTTAGTAAGTACCAGAAACCAGATTTCAATCCCAGCACCATGTCGTTAAAGAACAGATTCTTAGGTACACTATAATTCTGCCTCTCCAAGTGCAATAAGTACCCCAGACATCAAAAGGTTAAGCATAAGTATAAAGTTGAATTCTTACTTAGAAGCAACTGAGCCATTACACATTGTGTGTTCAATGAGATTCCTATGAAGAGTACAATCCATGGAAATTTGGTGGTGTTCACAGCGGGGTGGGTGGGAGGTTTTAGTAAAGAGGAAGAGAGTGGTTAATCCAAATTCTCTGAAACTTTAGGAGTTCCTGGCTCACTCACCTGTCCTTCCTAAATGTCCCTCATTGTGACTATGTTATTATAGGATATTTGCACTTAATAACCTTTGAAGGTTTGTGAGAAATATATGTTGTCAAGAAATAATGACCATGATGCTGAGCCAGACTGGCTATTCAATGAACCACAAGGCTGAGTCTCCTCCTGTGGAAATTTCCCTTTTACATGTTTTATCTTCATAGCGTCAAAACCCCAGAATCATTAGCACTCAGTGGAAGGGATCTCAGAGGTGATGTGCTCATAACTCCTTGCCCTTGGTCAGATAAGGTATTAGCTGAGGTCCAGATTTCCCTTGATATTGGAAATAGAAGAAAGATCAGCAGGGCTTGAGCCACTCCTTCTATTCACTTTCTTTGTACATATGTAGGGAGAAAGGGCCAGAAACTAGTACTGATTCTGTGACAGCCAAATGAGACACCCTATACTAGACATTCCACATAGGTGACCTTACCTCTTCAATAACTGAGTTAGGTGTAATTATTCCTGGTTGACAGATGAGAAAATTGTTGCTCAGAAAATGTAGGTAATATTGCTATATTGATGCAACTAATCATTAAAAGAACTGGGGTTCAAGTTCAGTCTGTGCTACTATGAAGCCCATGCGCTTACCCAACCCCCACCATATGTCCATCATGTCTCAGAGCCTTGGCTTTGGGGTTTCTTGCGCTAGAACTCTATCTTAGAGGAAGAAGAGAGAACTGAGGGAGTGTATGAACTCTTGATTCAGCTGGCCAGGTTGAAATCTAAGATCTAGCTGGTATGGTGCAAGGAACTTAATTAATTTTCACTCATTGTCCTCATCTATGAAATGGGGAAAAAATATTGTACCACCTCATAGGAGTGCTTTGAGAATTAGACAAGAAAATGCATGCAAAACCCAACACAATGCCTTCTGTATGGGAAGCTCTAGGTATATGTCAGTTCATGTTATTAGCTACTAGCAAGGACCAAAGACTTAAAAAAAAATCTGGAGGCACCTTTATGTCATGTATTCCTCAGTCACTAGAAACAAAAGCTGCATAAATGAATGAAGGCCTTTGTTGAAATAATTTGGAGCCCGTCACTGCACTCTCTAATTTACAGTCATCTCAGCCCTAAACCGGCATTTGATGTTAAGGTGACTCCTAGAAACTCATGGAATGATTTAATGTATCACTCAGTCTACTCTTCAACATCCAGCCATTCTCGTTTTTCTATCTTAATTCAGGGAAGTTTAAAGTTAAGTTGATCAGGAAGAAAAAATTCCTGTAGCATGACATGAAGGCAAACATATACAAAAACTTACTGCTTTCACCTTTCAGACAAGCTTTTGTAGAATTAATAGCAGTGACCTCTAGAAAAAATAAGGGAAAGTATTAGTCAATTGTTGGTGCCTATTATTTGACAGTTGACATATAAGTATGGTATATGTGTGTATTTATACACACACAGACATATATATATAAATATATATAATCTGTCGACAGAGAGACAGGAGAGATACTAATTGAAAATATGAGCCCCACCATTCCAGAATAATTGGTCATATCTACTATGAACCAGGGAGTTCAAAAGTTAATTTGATCAGAAGGGAAAAATTGCTATTTTCCTAAAAATTTTTTGCAAAAATTGCTATAAATCTTACCACTTTCCTCTTTTGGGGAAGATGTTGTAGAATCAGTAGCAGTGACAACTAGAAGAAATGAGATCAAATATTAGTCAATTGTCTATTCCTACTATTTGACAGTGTGTGTGAATATATAGGTATAAACATATATATATATATAAGATTCCTGGATATATTCACGTGTATATATACATGTACACATGTACGTGTGTGTGTGTATATATATATAATGTGCTGACACACAGGAGAGACAGTCATTAAAAATATGAAAATTATGAACCCCACAATTCCAGGAATATTTGGTCTTTTCTACTTTAAGTCTGAGAAGTTGATCAAGAGGGAAAAAATTGCTAGAGCATGACATGAAGGCAAACATATACAAAAACTTACCACTTTCCTCTTTTGGGGAAGATGTTGTAGAATCAATAGCAGTGACAACTAGAAGAAATGAGATCAAATACTAGTCAATTGTCTATTTCTACTATTTGACAGTGTGTGTGAATATATAGGTATAAACATATATATATATATATATAAGATTCCTGGATATATTCACGTGTATATATACATGTACACATGTACGTGTGTGTGTGTGTATATATATATATAATGTGCTGACACACAGGAGAGACAGTCATTTAAAATACGAAAATTATGAGCCCCACAATTCCAGGAATATGTGGTCTTTTCTACTTTAAGTCTGAGAAGTTGATCAAGAGGGAAAAAATTGCTAGAGCATGACATGAAGGCAAACATATACAAAAACTTACCACTTTCCTCTTTTGGGGAAGATGTTGTAGAATCAATAGCAGTGACAACTAGGAGAAATGAGACCAAATATTAGTCAATTATCCATGTCCATTATTTCAAAGTGTCTGTATACATATAGGAATACATATAAATAACACAGGCAAACATATGCAATAACTTACTGCTTTTATCTTTCAGAAGAGCCTTTGTAGAATCAATAGTAGCGACAATTGAGAGGAGAACTAGAAGAAAGGGGAGCAATATTAGTCAGTTATTCATGCCCATTATTCAACAGTGTGTCTACGTGTTTATATGAGTAAATGTGTATGCACACATACACACAACACACAAAATCTGCTGACAGAGAGACCGTCTCTAAAAATATGATCCCTACGATTCCAGGAATATTTCATCTCATTCTATGTAATTTAGTAGATCTAATTCATATATTGTGTTTCTGCACCTGAAGATGTTGACTCTCATGAAGAATACATTTTTTTTCTTCTTTATCACAACTGGATGGTAATATCCAAGACTATCTTGTTTTCCTTCTGTATTCACAGCTCCTAGCATAGTACCTGCTACAAAGGAGATGGAGAAATACTTGTCGCATGGAAAAATAAACAGAAAATGTGGCTACTGTATAGTCTTCAGCACAAGCTGCTGACATGAAGAGTTGCTACGAATTAATTCATCAGATCTTAGAATCCACAACAGAATCTCACATTCAAAAGAATTTGGTTTGGGCAAATTTCCCATCAAAGCAAAGGAAAGCAGCTGTACCTTTCCAAATCATGAACATCCCTGTATTCCCAACTCATGAACGTGAATTTCTGGAGTTGTGGTGTTTGTGGACATGACAACAATATGAATAAAAACTAATAGCTATTGAGTGATTATTACTGCACCAGACACTGTGTTAAATGCTTTACGTGCATTACCTCCTTTAATGCTCCAGTCACACTGACGTGAGCTGTAGTTTGGAGGTCTCCTTTTTGCAAATGAGGAAATAAGGTTGGGAATATAAGTAACTTGCTGAGAGTCATACCAGTGACGGCAGAGCCAGCATTCAAAGGGTCACTGTTGGGAATTAAGTGAGTTGTGGAAAGTACTTTGTAAAAATAATCCATAGAAGGCCAGCCCTGATGGCCTAGTGGTTAAAGTTCAGCACTCACTGCTTCAGTGGCCCAGGTTTGCTTCCATTTCCCAATCACAGAACCACACCACCTCTCTATCAGTTGTCATGCTGTGGCAGTGGCACACGTAGAAGAACTAGAAGGACTTACAACTAGCATATACAACCATGTACTGGGGCTTTGGGGAGAAAAAATAAAGAGGAAGATTGCCAACAGATGTTAGCTCAGGGTGAATTTTTATCTGCAAAAAAACCAAAAAAATACTAATAATAATCCACAGAAAGGGTATTATGCAAAGTGAAATAAGTCAGAGGGAGAAGGTCAAATACCGTATGATTTCCTTCATTAAGTAGTAGATGATAACAACAATAAACAAACACATAGAGACAGAGATTGGATTGGTGGTTACCAGAGGGGAAGGGGGGAGGGAGGAAGGCGAAAGGGATAATTCGGTACGTGTGTGGTGATGGGTTGTAATTATTATTTGGGTGGTGAACATGATGTAATCTATGCAGAAATAGAAGTATAATGATGTACACCTGAAATTTATACAATGTTATAAACCAATGTTACTGCAATAAACAAAAAATTAAAAAAGAGAAAATTAAAAAAAAAAACGGAAGTCATCTATAGAGAAACAACATAATTCTACCATTATGGACACTAAAAACATCTTCCCTTCCAGATATCTTAACTATTCTTAGAAAACGACTTTTTATTACAGGAGCTCAGCATTTCAGCCAAATTCTTTCCTAAGGTAGAAAGATAGGCCCAGTCATATTATGTAAAACATGAGGTGAGATTATGTACAAAGAAAAAAAAAGAAGGCAAACATACAAAGATGAAAAATTTTTTAAAGATAATTGACTGTTGGATGCAAGAAAACAGAGTTGAAATGATTATTTTGGTTAATCTTCTTCTACTAGATGTGTTCTTGTCCATATGGATATGGCTCTGGTATGCAATTTTATACACTCAAGGGCCTCTTTGTTTTGGTAGCTATAAAAATGGGTTTGAAGTATAAGATTTGGAATAAATTCCAAGAATGAAAACGTTAGCATAATCGTGGTTAGATGTTAAAATATCTTCAAGAACTGACTTTAATGTATCTCAAAAGTCTCTTTCTTTTCCTTAACAATGACTTTTTCATTAAAAGATCAATAAAACGCTTTTATTACCATGCATCGATTGAGGTAAAAACAATAAAGTAATAATTTTTCGAACAAAATCTGTGTATGTATCCTAAGTTCTCTTTCTCAATCAAGGTTGATCAAAAACTTGGACAATAATAGTTTTATTTTCTTCAAAATCCCCTCATTCATTTGTGCTCCTGAGTTATAGTCTTAACTTTTATCAAACACAAAAACATCCAAGAAACAGCATTAAAAATTTGCTGTAGAATGACAATAACACAAATGTCCTCATTAGCTTTGTTTCCCTGAGAAGTCCATGGGAGACATTTGTTTCAGAAATTAAATGCCAAGTAAAACATTTTGAACTAGAACTTCTCTATGATAATCATCACCATGGAACTTACTACACTTCTGATTTTTCCCTCATCACTAGAAAAATCAAAATGTAACAGGACACTTCAGCCCAGTGTTTATATCAAACTTGTGTTTTGCATATATTGCTTCCCCTCTGTTTCTTAGCTGTAGCAACAGTAAATTAGGGCTGGTCTTTAAATCTTATGCTAGTACATTTTGGGAAATGATATTAAAAAATACAATAAATACATAAATAAACATATCCACGTTATGTTTTCCAAAGCAAGTGTTTTCACTGACATTATTTCATTTGCTCTTCATCATGGCCCCAGGAGAAAGCCAAGGTAGTCCTATAAAGGATACTGTGAATGCTAGAAAAATAAAACAAGCCTAACAAGCCTAATTTGATCACTGAAGAAACTAAGGATCTGAGAAGATGAAGACTGACTTCAGAAATTGGGACTGGTGCACAGCAAACATCTTCACACATTTTTTTCTGTGCTTGTTCCCCACTGCTTCAAAAGGGCTTGTGAACCACAGGGAAAAATTACAAACTGACTCCTTCTTATCTATAGGTGCCCTGGGGACTTTGGTCTGTTGTGTTCATACTCAGGACAGCAGGTCGTGAGTCTAGTGAGTTACAAGACCTCTGCCTGGACCAAGGCACAGTCAGGTCTCCGCCCACACTGTCTAAATATGCGCAGCATCTGCATCAAAGGGACTCCTTTGGGACACCATGTCTGAATCACTAGTGACCCTGTGTGATTAGGAAAAGAATGTACTCTCTTACAACAGTGCATCCTCCTTGGGACAGTAATTCATCCCAGTGTGCTCATCCACACATCCCTTCCAGGCCAGGCACAGGCTAGGTCTGCAATAAATGTTTGTTGAGCTGCATTTATCAATGGCAAGAAATACATTCATTACGTAGAATGGAAGTACTTATGTACACATTACTTTCACTCAATCACTAATTATGAAATTTCGCCTTATGGTGGAATATAAAATACAAACCTGGAAAACCTAAGACTATGATAAAACTACAGCAGCCAAATTATTCGATTTTTTGTTGAGCCCCGATTTGGCTCCATTAAATGAACACAATTTTGTCACCTAATAACCTTGGTTTGGGGCTATACTCTGAGTTTAACAAGATTAAAGTGAGACTGATTTTGTTTGATGAGTAGAAGTATAATTGCTGAAATAAGTATAATTGCTCTTATTTCCTGATCAATTAAGATCATCAGAAGGGGAATTTCTTTTTGAGTTTTTCTTGTGTTCTGAGTAGTTAGGTGCTTTCATGTATGTTGTTTCATTTGATCCATAAAACAACCCTAAAAAAAAATCACTGA